CTTTGAAAAAACGCTGCTGTGACATTCAATTTGTTCTTTTTTCTTTAGATTCGCAGTTCTTTATGAAAATTCAGACTATTGCCAGCCGGATATGTGCCCCTCGAAGTTGCGTAAGGGCGTGGTTGAAAAATTGAAGGAATGGTGGAGAGATAGGTTTGGACGATGCCCAGGAGAATGCCAGGAGCATGTAGACGAGGAACGTTGCTTGGCTGAAATCAGTTACAATAGCAAAGACATCGTCAGCGATAGCAGCAAAATTTACTCGTGGGCTTATCTTTATTACATTACTCTATATTATTTGCATTAAAATAATATTATATATATCTTTTTTATTATTAGAATAGTCTGTACATATTATTAGAATAGAAATTTTATAATTATATTGATCTCTGATTAATATGAATTAATTATATCATGTTATATTATCTCGATTTCAATTTTACATCGAAATACTTCGATTTACAGGAGAAAGAAATACACTAAATCTACATCAGCTCCACAATTAGGAATGTTCAGAGGTCGCACGATTTTTAAAGTAAATGATTTAACTTTTAGTTTATTATCATACTATAGCTAATATGATAGCGTATAAGCGATGTTTTTGATCTTTTTAGTAATGTTATTATTAATTATTATCTTAGTAATCAAGAAATATTTTGAAACATTGCAGCAGTTACAATGTTGCTGGAATGTTTCTTGCATACTGGAATAGACTTCAAGAAATTTAGTTTAACATTATTTAGTTAACATTATTTTACACAGAAAGAATGGTTCTGTTAAGTATCTAAAATTTTAATTAAATATTAAATCTGAAAATACAGTTTTTTAAATCATCAAAATAATTATGTAAAACGCTTAAGCGTTGATGCTGCAAAAAATTTTAACCTTCCAGCAACCAGTTTGAATGCTCTACATAATTTTGATGGTTCAAACAAAATTATTTTTAAATCTTTTTGTAGCTAAATTTTTAGATACTTGAACAGAACCATTCTCTGTAGCTATTTATTTCTGCTATTTTTATGCGATTTTTGTATAATTACGAATTTTATTCACAGCACAGCGTCTGCTATAGTTCTGAAGGATCGACCACCTATTCCGATAGTCCAGCCAAGCTAAGATAACAATTAGAAAATAAATAATGATTTTGAATACGTGGGATACGAAAGGATAAAAGAATTGTATTTCTCCTTTAAGATGTACCATTTAATTTTAGGATATTTCTATTATTTAATAAAAAATAAAACTCAATAGACACGCAAAACTTTCTAATTCTGCACAATCGCATACGTGCGGCATTCACAAGAAGAAACGTGAAGATTGTTTTGCTTCACGCTCTGTCAAGCCATTAATCTAATTGCATTACAGTTGGCTGCGCCGAAAACTCACCCCTGATGTTTCTTCACTGCCAGCTTCTCTTTCCTGCGATCACGTACGGGAAAGAGAATTATTCAACTTCTTATTCTCTGTAACTCTTAACGACAATGTTGATATATCATTATATTATTTTTGCTCAGATACCTGAAAAAACCTGTCAATGACAACTTAACGATCTCGAACTGTCATTAAAGCCCGGTTTCACAAATAATAAAATGAACTTTAATCTTAGTTTAACTTATTATATAAGAAAAGTTTTCGTGTATTTTTGACATTTCTTTATTAAAATAAAATATATGTGTGCGAGAGGACTTTTCATTCCAACATTTTTGTTGCATTGTTATCATTCCAAGAAGAACAACATAACATTATTTTAATGCCGTAATAACATCAAAATGATATTAAAATGAATTGGAAATGATTGAAAATGATTGAAAAATGACTTTTAATGATCATTTTGGAGTCATTTTGATATCATTTTGGTATGACTTGTTGTTTTGCTTGGGATTCTATGTTGGCAAATTCTGCTGTTAGAAACTAAGTTTAATGAGGAAGCAGCAGATTGAAATCTGCATTGTCATGATCGAGTTTACTGACATATTGCTAGTGTATTGCTAGCATTTTGCTATCTGGGTTAATTTTGAGATAATCTCGGTTCAACTTTTCATCTTTTTCTAATTTTTAGAACTAAAAAAAAGATGAAAAGTTAATTAAACCAAAATTAAAATTAAACTAGTAGAAACGGGCATAATTTTTGGAAAAAGATAAATAGTATACAATAAATTAAATCGAGATTAATATTATATTTATGTAACTATGCCAAGAGTTATAGAATCGAGGTACTAGATAGATTTTTAGAAGGGTCGATCACAGTTAGAGATTAATGTTTTTTTCTTAAATATGTTTTTAATGCTTCAAACATGCTTTAAACAATACTGTACAAAAACATTAAAAACATATTAAAAACATCAATTAAGCATGTTTTAAACTGTTTAAAACATGTTTTTTACCAACCCTGGTCACAGTAAAATATACGAGTAAAATTCAACAACTTGTTGCGAATGAATTGAAAACAAGCGACGCGAACGCCAAGCGGCGTGGAAGTAGGGAAAATGGAGCAGCGCGGCGGTTTTATGAACGTCCCCTCCTCGCGCCATCTTGTGCGCGCATGCGCGTCTTCCGAGCGACGCCGAGACCGCGCAAAGTTAGCGGCCGGCCGGCAGTCTCGTGCGATATCTCGGTTGATTCGTTACGTCGTTCTGTGTATTTACGTGAAAAGGCGTGACACGCATCGTGAGACCGGCTCTCGATCAACGAAATTAGACGAATAGAGTCGCTTTCGAACAAACAGTTATAATCCGAATAATCAGCGAAGGCGTCGTTAAACGAACGTGGACATTTATTGCCAAAACCGTGTCGTTTATTGTATCTTTGCAACCGACAATAGAACTGTCAGTAGAACTGCGACAGTTAACGCGTGATGTACGATGTCTCGTGTAAATAACCGACTTTCGGGAGCCTCGCGCAATGACTCCATCATAGGTGATCATAGAATGGCGTTGTAAAGTCGATCAAGAAGAAACGATCAAATTCTTTTGCGAAAAGAATCACGCGATCAGTACGACCATCATTTGCGCGTAACTTCACAATAGTGACGTTTCGTCGTTCGTCGCGACACGTATCGTGCACTTTCGATCATTATTAATCGTGACGAGGGACAGGAACGGGAATCGTTAGGAGCATTCGACGGATCCGTGTGTTAATTACTTTTGCGATCTGGTTCACGGGAAGAAATTCGCGCGCGTGGATGCCGACGAAACGTCGCGGTCTGATTCGCCGAACGGCGGCGTGCGCGCATGCTCCATTTTGAGAATTCGAAATTTTACAAGTGACTCGAACGAACGCGCTTGAAACTACGTTCACGCGTCTTCGTGCATCCGAGACTGTTCCTCGAGTATGTGTGCCACGGCGGGATTCATGTGCTTCCTTGTTTCCGCGCGCGTCTACAATTGACTTTTGTGCATTGTCTTGTGCGTTTCGCCGTGGGACAACATGGCACGCTGGGATCATCGCCAATTATGCACGCTGCTCTTCCTGCTCCTCTTCGCGGGCATCTTGAAAGGTGAGTTTTTACGCTGACATTTTCAAATTCTCATTGTTCGAGCTAATAAAGTGCATTATCTGTTAGTATAATGATAATATAATGATAAAATTCTAGAATCTGTTTCTCGATCGAGATTGATTTTTTTAAACATGTATAATCACTTGTGTAATTACATCAACTTTATTAGCTCCTCAAAATTGGAATTTTTGAAAGAACAAAAGTCGAAATTTTTTAAATGTAATTGACTTTCCAAGACATATGTTTTACAATCGTTTATCATTTAGATAATTTTGAATAATCTTAATTTGTTTTCTGAATTCTATCATAAGAGAATACAACTTTTCTCATAATCGTTCGGGAATAGTTTTATTTCTACATTTTCTTATGTATTTTTCTTCATGAAAACTGAAAGTTATTTAATAATGATATTACATTCAAAGAAAAACTGGTACCTTGTATGAAATAAAGTTAATAAAATTCTTTTACGTTGTTATGAAATCGCCGTCAGTTATTCAATTATTTAAAAATTTAGAGAGAGTTAGATCAACAACTTTAAATTAAATGATTAAAATATAATAAAGAATAAGGATTTTATTCTTTATTTTAGTGCCATTATAATGATAATCTTCGGTTTTGAAGAAAAATACATAAGAAAATATGTAGAAATAAAACAATCTTCAAATGAAAAAGTGAAAAATATATTTTTCTTATCTACAAACGACTCAATATGATAACTTAAACATTTTTTTAATAACGATACATTAATGATATAAATATTAAATATTAAATATTAACGATAAGCCCACTGTTATTTTGTCTTTTATCATTCGCTTTATCTGCAGTTTAATCAAAAGAGTTCTCGAAGCATAAAGTAAACGTTTAATCTCCACTCGAAATTTGTGATTGGCCGAAACGATTTGAGAGTACTTTCAACTTCTGTTCTTCTTCATAAACATTCAACAAGTGGCGACAGGTCCACTGGCTCGTGCGAGTTAAGTTCACGAGAGCTTTTCAAATCGCTCGAACTCCGCGAGGACTTTTTCTGTTGTAAAATATCGAGTATACTGCTACAGTGAGTCAAAATGTTCCTTGTTACGGTGTTTATGTGTTTCACATAGACCTTTTATTAATTAAATATATAGATGAAATAATTTTAATATGTAAATAATTTTACAACATGAAATTAATTATTGATTGGCAGAAATCATCAATTTTAATACAACATTATTGCGACACTTGTTATTGCAGTCAAATAATTTTATATGCAATTGTTTGTTAAAATTTCAATTTATATCCTTAACGTATTAATCAACATCGTAAACACAATTTTATATTTTTGAATTTCTATTTGACCGATAAATTCCAAATTGCTAAATTTTGTATTACATATTAACCGATAAATTCCAATAATCAAAGTATTTTGTTTTCCTACTAAAATTCATAAATAAACAAGCACAAATTATTGATTAAAGGATTAAAAGTTTCTCGAATCGAAAAGGCACTTGGTATCTGAGTATTTATTTCGATAAAACGTCAGTGTTTGCAATAAAATGTTCTTCGAATTGTATATTGCGTGTACTGTAACAGCAGACGTTTCAGCGCTCGCAGACGTTGTAATTTGTAAACGATTTAAAGCATTTTATGCTCCGTTAACCACGGTAATAAGCTCGCTTTTAATTACCGTCTAATGTACTCTTACCGTCTCCCTTGACACTCACTCTGACCGCGTAACAGGCAACGCTTTTAATTTATCGATGGTTGAGCTTGTGAGAGACGAATTCTGCGGCAAGAGTCTGGACCAATTTTTCCTTCCTCATTTTCTATCCCAAGGCTAATAGATTTAGTCGACGCGTTTCCCAGAATATTTGTACGCTTAAATTAATCGAGGGCTGATAAATTACGCGCCTTTTTTTTCTATATTGCAATTTTTTCCATATAAAAGTCAAGATTGTTTTTTTATGATATTTTATAGAGCACGATATAAAAAAAATTACAATTTATTAATGTTTTTAAGATTTTTTTGTAGATATTATACTAATTGACATCATCAATGAATAATTATCAATGCAAATTTCTTGAAAGAGTGTTATATAACATTATTTATATATATATATATATCTTCATTTTAAATGCATAGAACATATAATTTAAAAACTCTTAAAACATCTATAATATATTTGGTATCTGAACTTAAAAGAGAAAACATGTAGTAACATATTCATGAAAAACGCTACAATCTCATGAATATTCATTAAATGTTAAAAATAGTAAAGGAAACGATATATAGACTTGCTCATGCACACATTAAAATTTTTTTAGTATCGTATACACCCTATCGATTCAATAATGCGATAACGTTTAATGAAATTAGTGCGTTACGGATGACTGAATTTCTGCATAATATTATGACTATGTTTGTGTAGCTATTAAATTTTAAATAATCGTTTTAATATATTATAAGTACGATAAACCAGTGGATTTTATATCCAGTGTACGTATTATGGAATTGTTTGGAATGAATTCCGATCGGAATTATTTCGTTTTCTTTATGATAGAAATATTGTATATATCTACGGAAAGAAATTTTGTTGAAATATCTAAAAATTTAGAGCTAGATATAGATTTGAAAATAATAAAA